TGTGTTCATGATGTGTGTGTTCATGATGTGTGTGTTCACTGCTGTGTGTGTGCACTTTGGATGGGATAAATGCAGAGCACTAATTCTGAGTATGGGTCACCATACTTGGCCACATGTCATGTCACACGTCACACTTAATGAGTAATGGATGTGTTTTTGGGCATAATGTGCAATAAACCAATCAGAGTCTCATCTCCCATTCCCTTTACGAGCGAGTTGTGCTCATGCCATAGCGAATTCGCTATTAAAATGGCGGAATTTTAAGGCGCACAGACTGAACCCATCGTCCAGAGAGCAAATGGAGCTGCTCATGCGCGAGCAAATAGGTAGGCTAATTCCGATACACGCAATGACTATCCATTATGACATGTATGACATTTTTATATTTATGTAGCCTACACAATAATAATCTTTTACACTGTAATCCTTTAATTTTTTATATTTGGCATGTTTGTGTGCTGCTGCTCGAAGGAACGAATTGTGTGTAATGAGCAAAGTGAACGCGCGTTGTGGACCTGCCCAGAGACGCGGCGCTCTTTAAATTACAAAAAAAATATTGCACCATTGACTTTAGACTTTAAACCAGGTTTTTGTTGGTCTATGGTGCAGTCTATCTTCAGTTCCTTTTTGTAGACCAAGCACGCCCATGGGCGCACAAATGCATTTGCTATTTAAACAACGTGGCGCAGGACGGGAAAATGAGAACTGCGTCGGGCTGAAACTAGCAAAAACACTTGAGCCCGTTTAACCCATCAGCACTGTTTAACCCATTTGTGCCCAAATTTTTCTGAATGGTTTCATGCATATAGTCATGTTAATAGTATTCTATGTGAACATGCTCTGCATTTATTTTCCCCAGGTTTGTTTTTTTTTCTTGAAAATTGTATTTGAATGTGCGGCAACTATAGTTGCTGGTGGGCAAATGTATGCACCCCTTCAATGTCAAATTTGAATAGGAAGAGAACATTTGGCATCTAACTCAAAATAAATGCTTTTTAGTAATTAGTCAAGGGTTTTCTCTTTTTTTTTGCCTCAAGTACCATCTAAGCAATTTTTTTAATTTAAAATTATATGATTTCCTATTCTACGACTGGTGGACAGATTCAAGTACTACAGTCTTTATATCTCAATTGAAATGGCTAGCATTTAACAGTTTACTATTAATCCTCTTAACATTTTTGAAATTTATGAAACCAAGTCAACTTCTGTTTGACTCAGTATCCATAGTAAGACATTGTCAGCAGTTGCTCGTGAAGTTTCAGACCAGACAAATATATATATATATATATATATATATATATATATA